ATCATTTTCGCGGTGGTTTTTTCGTCGTTTTCGTTGTGGCTTATGATTATTATTATTGTTGTTATTGAGGGCTCTCTCCATCGTTTAGTTTTTTTTTCAATCCCATATTATTTTAGTGGGTTTTTGAATTTCGCTCATTTCGTCTCATAAACGTTCAAAAATATTACAACTGTTCTCGGTCTAATCGATAAATTACCGAGTCGGAATCAACGTCGGCCGACATCAAAAACTTACCGATTTGGTCATCAACAATTTTACAAATGTAATTCCTAGAGAAATTTAAATTTGCTAGTTATCGAATGATCCAATTCGAATAAACTTCCGCAGAGCACTCTAAGCCTACGAAATATAAATATATATATACAACGTAATAATTTTTAACTTGGGCCCTTATTCGTAAATTTTCATATAAATATTTTATTTTAGACCTCTGGTACTTTACATCTTTGAGCGAACTTTCCAAAGAGAAAATGTCTAAGGTAGTAATATTTTTTAGAAAAATCGGATGCTTAATAAATGTTTTGAAAACTGGTAGTTCTGACAGTTTCCCGGTACCTCTACTTTCTGTCCTGATCATGATCGACAAAATTAAGAAAAAAATTTTTCTATCTCAAAACTTTGCCTATGAAACAGCTTTTCATGCTCTAATAAAAAATTTCCTCTCTAATTTTGATGAGTTTTACTATAAATTCTCATCTAACCTAACCTAAACCAACTTAATGCTATATAATTTCAAAATTAGCCTAATGCAGGCCGATGTCGATCAATCTAGGCCAATGATCGACATAACCTGGCACAGAAAGTAGGAGTGCAGTTTCCTGTCGGGGATTGGTTGTAATCACCTGACAATATGTCCTGCAAAAAAAAAAAAAAATCTTATAAATTTCCACATCGAGCAAGTCATATTCCTCCTCTTCCAAAGAAACCCGAAATTACTCGAGGTTTGGATTATATTTACAAGTGTCAAAAAAGCCATAGCGATGACTGGTGTTGCAACTGTAAGTTGTATTAATTCACTTCCATAAAAATTTATATTATATTAAATCTTTTGATCTCTCACACCTACAAAAAAGCAAAAAGGTGGTTCTGCAAAGGCCAGTAAAAAGGCCGTGAATAAACAAAAATACATTATTGATGCATCGGCACCTTCTCAGGATAAGATTTTTGACTCAGCAGCTTTTGTAAGTATTCATCAATGCCATTTCAAGGGTTCAATTAATTGATTACATTCATGAAAATAATTAATATTTAATAGGAAAAATTTCTTCACGATCGAGTGAAAATTAATGGTCGTACAGGTCAATTAGGTGAACTTGTCACAATATCTCGTAGCGAAGATCATAAAATTACAATCACCACCAATTCTCATGTTTTTTCCAAGCGATATATGAAATATCTTACTAAAAAATTTATGAAACAACATCGTATTCGTGACTGGTTGCGTGTTGTTGCTACTGATTCGGTAAGTTAATTTTTTTTTTTAAAGGCGGGTTTCATTAATCAATTTTTTGCTTATGCAGGTAATAATCTCCTTTTCTTTTAACGACATATAAGAACACGTATCAAATAAGATACTTTAACATTAGTAACGACGTTGAGGACGAAGAAGAAGAATAAAAAAAAAAAAAACATGTCATTTCAATGGGCTTTAAATCAAATAAAATAGGAATCTACATTTGATCATAATTTATCTCGTCAATAGTTCCTCGTATTAATAAATACAATAGCACAATAATTAGAGATGTTCAATGTGTAGTGTAAAATGAAACTTTAAGAGCTTTCATTAATTATGAATGAACTTTAAAACAGCCTAAAACAGTATATGGAAACTTCACGATTCACATGTATATAATCTTTGAGATTATGACTGGTGTTCTGAACATTACAATTCCATATATATTGTTTCTTTCTAATTTATTGCTTATCCTCAATGATTGTAGAAAGTTCCTGGTAATATGAAGCAAAGGAACTTTGACGCTGTGTCGTTTGAGGAAGGTGCATATAGCACCTTTGTTTGATATTATGCACAAAATGTACTCTACTTTCCATTATGATGAAACAGCCTCACATAATTAATGAGAACTGGTCAGATTATAAAGAAAGTTTAAAAGTGTGAGTGGGTATCCCACTCCATTCTAAAGATTCAATAAAGATCACATCCTATGTATAAAATGAAGAATTCATTTATTGAACGTTATCTATACAATTAATGAATTTGAATAAGCATCTAATAAACATTATTAATGTTTTGATCTTTTATTAAACTTATTCTAATATTTCTTTTTAGTGTGATGATGGCTTTAAGAGGCAAGGATATTTTCATAGAAGAAAAACTTTCAGATATTCGTAAGATATAAATTATAGAATTAGGCTAATTAGATCTAACTTTTTAATATTCTTAGCAACATTATTAAAGAATATTATAAAACCTATCTACATATACGTACCGGTATAATTTGTCAATATCAGATATTTAGTAAATAAAATACAAATTAACGAACATTATTTTGTCTTATTAATTGCACACTAATAATCAAAATTGTAGAACGCCATTAAATCCGTAAATGAAAACGTGACGATACTTTTATATCCAAATGTTTCTTATATCTGATATCGTCATTAAGATTGTGTATAACAGTATAATGCGCGTGATTTGATTTAAAAATGGGGATCAGTTGTGTACCCACTAAACTATATATAAATCGCGTATTTCTACGCTTTTAATTTTCAAAGATGGCTACTAAAAGCGTTGAAAATCCTCACGAAGAACAACAAAAAACATTATTAAACAGAATTGTCTCTAATGTAGTAAGTAAATTAAATAAGTTGTCGGAACGGTCCCCATGAATAAGTCGCTAAATGTTTATTATTTTGCTAAAGAAAAAACTAAACGATGTTCTAGAAGAAATGAATGGTCGAATTCAGGTTTGTGAATACTTAAATTTTTCGCGTTTTATTTAACTTCTTATTTCACATAAAAATTAAATTTAGGAAATAAATGAGTACAACCGTGATATTGTGATCCTTTCGCAATTCTGGACAAATTACAATAGAAACGCGACTTTTAACCTAATGATCCTGGCAAATAATGAAAAAATTGACTATAGTGATTGAACCTCTCTGAAGAATCATGACCCAGGTGATTCGACGGGGAACTCGCAAGTCACCAGGTGGATAAGCTGTTACTTTTCGCATGTTGCAAATATAAAACCAGAAAATTTTGTCATATCTAAATTTAATAGTAGCTAGGCACGTTCAAATGTTTGTGCTTGATTTAATTTTTATATAAAAAAGTTTTTAAAGTATATAAATTATGTATCTTTTCTGAATTTTTTTTAAGCAAATTATTAATGTTCTTTTTATATATATAAATATATAAGAATGTTGCTAACTTACCTTTTGGTTATATAGACTAAAAAAATGTATAAAAGTTACTCTTTCTCTAAGTGTAATAATAACTTGAGGTTAACAAACAATAAAAATTATTTAACAAACAAAACATATGCTCTTCAAAATTCTGACTCGAGTTCCCTTGAATTTATAATTATTACTATACTGTATACAGTCAGACCTTCCTAAGCGCACCTCTTCGGGACCATAGAAAAAAAATTGTAAAGTGTGCGCTTATAGAGGTGTGCATTTATGGAGAGCAAAATATATAGAGCTCTTAGCTTTAGAGAGAATTTACATAGTCCGCGCACTTAGGGAGGTCCGACTGTAGTTTTTTATTTATATTTTAGATTTTAATATTCTAGTTGTTTTATTTCTTTTTTTTTGTATCTTTTTTTTTTTATATTTATTAAAATTTTATTAAAATACAACTAAATATTTCTTTTAGCTATTAATTTTGAATTATTATAAAACGCACCTATGGTGTTTTAGCACCTATGTATAATTTCTTTTAATAAAATTTAGGATTAGGGTTAGAAAATTAAGAATTATTATTTTTTTTTATATAATATATTATAGAGCTAATATAAGGTCCCTGAACATTTTTACTTAGAGAACCCGATTCCGTTTACTTAGTACGTTTTTGAGAAACGGGACCTATGGTGTAAAAAAACACCATAGGTGCGTTTTAGTAAAATCCTTAATTTTTATAATATCTGATATTATTATTATCATTTTTTAATTTGTTAAATATATAATCAGAACTTTATTAGTATATTTAAATATATATAAAAAAAATTGAGTTACTAGAAATAGACCAACTTTAACATTATATAGTATAACTAATAAAATATGATATATATAGTAATTATATAGGATTAAATAATTTTGTATCATTATATTCGTCTTATTAAGATTAATCAAATAATAATAAAATTACTTAATTCTACATGCTAATCAAAAGATATAATTATTTAATGATTATATATAAAAAAAAAAAATTAAATATGTAGTGGTATTGTGACCAATTTTTACAATCGAATAATTTTCGATCCGCCAGTCCGTTTTGAATGATTTTACTACCAAAATGACCGCTCAATATGACGATTCTAACGAGCCCAAAATCGTTTAAATCCAATCACCGAATCCAGAGATCATTGAAAATTTGTTTATAAAAAAAAATTCACAAATTTTCATATTATGGCGGTTTGCAAAAAAGTATGACCTCTGATCATGGTGTCATGTAAAATTATGAAAAATTAGCCGATTCTAGTAGATTTTTCGATTCTTGGAGAATTTTCAAGATTTCGAATAAAATATAGACGTTATTATTGAAAATTATGACCAATAAGGAATTAAAATCTCGGAAATTTTTCCGTTATCATCATCACGAAATCACAGGGTCACACCTTTTTGCAAACCGCTATAATTTTATTAAAACAAAGAGATTTTTCGGGATCCCGTGATTGGATTTTAATGATTTTGGGTCTCATCGAGTCGGTCATTAAATTGGTGGTAAAATCATAAAATTGTATTGTGGCGAATTTATGAAATACCCAAATTTTGAAAAATTTGACCACTAGGATAGAAATATAGATTTTGGCTGAGATAAGAAATTTTTCCCAGGCTAAGGTGCGTCGTTATAATAAATTTATATGTCTAATAAGGGAGGCATAATCTAAAGTAGTATAGTATGAAATATAATATACGTTGCGTAGTATATTAAAAATCAAAAAAGCGTATGACGTATATATACGTATACTAGAATATGCGTCAGACTACTCACTTGTCGGATATACTAACTTGTATAAATATATATTATTTGTCCAGAGTTATCATATATCACATGTAAAAGAAGATATTCTTTTCTACAGCTATATTTTTGATTTTATCGCTAGTTACATTAATACTATACATCAAAAATATAACTTTGATATCACTTTACTTATTTATTACATAAATATTTATTATTATCGTTAAACTCGAAACAAATTACATATATATTTAATAGCAAATAAATATTAAACATATTTAATATTAATAATTTAATGCAAATACAAGATTTTTATTATTTAATAGACTATTAATTAAAGCTCTATTATTCTTGTTCAAGTCCATATTCACGCTCTTTAATTGTATTAGCAATTCGCAATTCTCTTAATTTTTCTTTTCTTTCTTCAATTAAAAGCATGCATTCTTCATATTCCAATTTTTCTATTGGTGTCATTACCATTTCATTATTTATATTTGAAGAATCATTTTTATTAGAATTACTTTCTGTTAATCTTTGTGGTTGTTTGTTTTTGGAAGTTTTTATGGAACGTTTTTTTGTTGAAGTATTAGTTTTAGATTGCTTGCGAGCTATAAATTAAATTATATAAAGTTAAATAAAATTAAGCTATTAAATTAATTAAAGAATTACTTACTGCTTCGTTTAATAGCTGAAATCTTTCGCTTAATACCACTTTTATCATGTCCACTAAGATCAATATTATAGTTTTTTTTAATTTCAATTCTTTTGAAGTATCGCATATCTAACTTTTGACCTCTAAAATTTAAAAATTTTATTAATTTTTTTTTTTTAAAAAAAATTAAAAGATAAAAAAATAATAACCTCAATATTGCTGTCATTAATTTAAGCTGCTTTCCTTCACGATTGCTCATAGAGTGTGCTGCTTCAGCACAATTTGTGCTATTTGGTGCTGCATACCAATCATCATTGGAAATATTTGAAATATTTGGATTAAGAGATGCGATAATATAAGGTTTTTGATAAAATTGAACCCAATCTATTTAAAAAAAAATCAAGATTTATTTTTTTTAATATGTACTATATATTTAATTTTTTTATTATATATATATTTACCAATAATATCTTCATTTAATATTAATTTATTAAAAACATTGTTTATATTTTCTGCAGTTGTTGTTAATAAAGATTCCATTTCTATTTTAATTTCAGGTGCAAATTTTTTTTCAAATAATTTTCTATAAATATATAATATATATATATATTAATATTATAAAAATGCAAGTAATAAAACTGAGTACAGAGTATCGCAAAAAAAAATTTGTAATTCTTATTAGATAAACAAGTTTTTTTGTGATACTCAAATTTAGTTATATTTTTTAAATATTATTAAAAATTTAATAGCGCATTATTTTTAGAAGTACTTTATATAATACTAAATAATAATAATAATTTACCTTTTAAAATGAACCTGACATGATTTATAAATATATATTAAATGTTCTTCCCAACTATATAAACTATCTATCAAAGCTAATGTTTCACCTAATCCAATTATTTGTGCAATATCCAAATCACCAACTATACAATTCCAACCACTTCCATGAATATGTTTAAATTTTGGTGGCTGTCCAGTAAAAAATTTAACAAGATCAAAAAGAGCTTCAAACATTCGCTTATATGCAGTAGTAGTAGCCTAATTAGTAAATATTCTAGCAAATGTTAAAACTAAAAATTTAAGAATTAGCATTTAGTTAATATTTAATTTTATAATATTAATTTAAATAAAATAAACTTTATACTTGTATTTGTAGCCTTATCATAATAATTTA